AAGAAAAGAGAGAGAAAGAGAGGAGACCGAGAACGATAAGAAAGAGAGAAAAGGGACAAAGATTAAGATAGAGAGAGAAAGAGCAAGAGAAAGAGAGAGAGAGATAGAGATAGATAGATAGATAGATAAAGAGAGAGAGAGAGAGAGAGAGAGAGAGAGAGAGAGAGAGAGAGAGAGAGAGAGAGAGAGAGAGAGAGAGAGAGAGAGAAGAGGAGAGAGACAGACAGAGACAGAGACAGAGAACAGAGAAGAGAGGAAGAGAGGAGAGAGAGAGAGAGAGAGAGAGAGAGAGAGAGAGAGAGAGAGAGAGAGAGAGAGAGAGAGAGAGAGAGAGAGAAATGCAAAAGATGAAGAAGAACAAGAAAAATAAGACAACCTTCTCACTCACTTGATAATTCTGGACATCTTGTGATACCAAGTCGTGGTGTCGGGTCTGAGGGTGAGGTACAGTTCGAAGGTGTTGGGCATCGTCGGGTCAAGGACGACCCGAGTGAGGCGCTGTCTTTGGTCCCCGCTGTCGTAGTGCACGTGCAAGACGCAGCCCCTGGGGAGGAAGGGCGTCATTCGGAGGGCAAAGAGAGAGTTTGAATCTCTAAAACGGAGATTCATACACGATCTATGTGATTACGAGAGGAAAGAGAGAGAGAGGCAGAGAAAGAGAGAGAAAGGCAGAGAGAGAGAAAGGCAGACAAAGAAAGAAAGAAAGAGAGAGAGAGAGAGAGAGATGAGAGAGAGAGAGAGAGAGAGAGAGAGAGAGAGAGAGAGAGAGAGAGAGAGAGAGAGAGAGAGAGAGAGAGAGAGAGAGAGAGAGGAGAGAGAGAGAGAGAGAGAGGAGAGAGGACAGAGAGAGAGAGAGAGAGAGAGAGAGAGAGAGAGAGACAGGAGAGAGAGAGAGACAGAGAGAGAGCAGAGAGAGAGAGACAGAGAGAGGAGAAACAGAGAGAGAGAGAGAGAGAGGTTACCATGAATATCAAAGATAAACCAATACTTTTTTGTGAATACTATTTATCATTTACATTCCTTTTTATCTACATTTTAATTCTTGTAATCATATTTCATGCACATGTTCAGTATCACATGAATTTCAGAGAAACTTACCTCACGCCACACGGTTCGGAGTCGGCGAGCCGCAGGACTTGCGCAGTGACCTCATCGATGAGACCAGGAGGCACGATGACCTGACCGCAGCCGAGGGCATCGGCCCGACTCGTGACCTCCTGCGTGAGCTGCTGAACCAGACTGAGCCGCGCCGCTGCCTCTCCCTCGGCTTCGAACACTTCGAAATCTATCAAGGAGGAAATGAGAACAAGGATAATTTTCCGAACCTTTTTTAAGACCAAGACTTAATAATTCCCTTTCCGCCTATCGATTACTATAAGCCTTTGTTTATCTCTGTCTTTGCGAGTGAATTAACATGGTCCGTTTCAGCATGAAAAACCTTCACTAAGAAACGTCCAGGAATCGTTGTTGTCTTATCCTCGATATATGAACAAGGCAAGGAGGTCATTATGCTTCAGCTTTCCATCATCAGAGTACAGATGACAGCAGCCCCTTCTGCGGATGGCCCAGCCTTTGGCCTGGATGAGGAGCTTTCGACAAAAGGGGAAATCATACGCCTAAATTATCTACGAGTCCCTCCTTCCTACGTGTCGAATAACCACCGAGTCGGGAGCTTAATGGCTGGTTTCAAGGACAAAAGCAGGCAGGAGGAGGACAAAAAGGGGAAGTACACCAGCACGTCTAAATCCGGAACGGAATGGCCTATACACAAAAGACGTCATACCTCCAAAGAAATGAAACTCAGGAAATGGTTCCCGAGCAACACTTTCCCTTCGCTGGGAGCTCCTGTGGTCTGCCGAGGCAGCGCGGTGAGGCAAGGGAGTAGCAGTGGAATTTCCTCTAAGTCTTGGCATTGGTGCAAGCTGAGTCATATAAAAAGAAAAAAATCGTCTTTTCAAGAGTATCATATATTGTCTCTAAACTCATAATCGACAAAACAATTTTGGTTTGATTTGGCGGCACCACACAGGATCCTCTGAGGGATGCTTAAGATATTCTAAAAATAAATTAATGACAAAGCTTCAGTTAAATTTATATACACATCCTGTACTTATCGCAGTGTTCATAACTTAGAGCGGATAAAACAATACAAGCATGGGAAAGTCGATGTAATGATCAAAGCTCATTATGTTATGTCGGGTGTTTATGGGACCTTGGATGAGAGTAATGAGGTAATTACGGTGCGATTGCTGCGGGGGGGGGGCATCGTCCGTTTAAAGTGTTCAGCGAAACCAGCGCTTCATCCGCGGCCGAGCAAGGGATAGACTACAAAGAAGGTGAACAGAAGCGTCCTTTGGGTCATCATTTCTCTTGATTTGAGATACAGTTTTCTCGCGCCTTCTCTCAGCTCTTTATCACAAACTTATTCTTCTGTTACATTCACACATACTTATATATACGCGCCTGTGTGACTGTGTGTGTGCGTGTGCGAGCGTGTGTG